AGAGGCCTGTGGGGGCTGCAGTTGTCAATAGTGCAGCCATGTTTAAATGGCATATATCCCCATACTCTCTCTCTTTTTTTTTTTTGAATTGTGCTTTAAGTGAAAGTTTACAGTTTCAGTTTATCATACAAAAATTTATACACACATTGCTATGTGACCCTAGCTGCTCTCCCTATAATGTGAAAGCACACTCCTCCTTTCTACCCCGAATTTCCTGTGTCGATTCAACTGGCTCCTGTCCCTTTTTTGCCTTCTCGTCTCACCTCCAGACAGGAGCTGCCCATTTTGTCTCATGTATCTACTTGAGCTAAGAAGCATTCTCTTCACAAGTATCATTTTATGTCCCATAGTCCAGTCTAATCTTTGAAAAGACCTCTTTAAAGTGTTGAAAAAAGATGTCACCTTGAAGACTAAGGTGCGCCTGACCCAAGTCATGGTGTTTTCAGTCACCTCATATGCATGGGAAAGCAGGACGATGAATAAGGAAGACTGAAGAAGAATTTACACCTTTGAACTGTGGTGTTGGCGAAGAATACTGAATATACCATGGATTGCCAAAAGAACAAACAAATCTGTCTTGGAAGAAATACAACCAGAATGCTCCTTAGAAGCAAGGATGGCAAGAATACGTCTCACATACTTTGGACATGTTGTCAGGAGGTATCAGTCCCAGGAGAGGGACATCATGCTTGGTAAAGTAGAGAGTCAGCAAAAAAGAGGAAGACCCTCTACGAGATGGACTGAACAGTGGCTGCAACAATGGACTAAAGCATAACAACAATTGTGAGCATGGCACAGGACCGGGCAGTGTTTCAGGACCAGGCAGTGTTTCATTCTGTTGTACAGAGGGTCACTATGAGTCTGAATCGACTCAACAGTACCTAATTAGAACAACAACAATATGGCAGCTGGCTTCCCCTAAAGCAAGTTATCAAGAGAGAGTCAGGTGGAAGCTGTAGTGTCTTTTATGACCTAGCCTAGCCACAGAAGTCCAGCGGTATCCTATTAAGGAGCTCTAGTCAGTGTGGAAGAGAACAACACAAGAGTGTGAATACTCCAAGGCAGGACTACTGGAGGCCATCTTGGAGGCTGGCAAGCTCATCCTTCTAGTTTCCAGTGTTATTTTGAGAGGTCCAAAATAATTCCTCTTCCTGATCCTTTGTGTGTGATCTGCTCTGTTTTCTCTCTCTAGAAGTTTGTGGAACATACTTTTCCTCTCCAGTGTTTTGAAATGTTATCCATATGAGTCTGTTTTCATCTATTGTTTTAGGCACTTGGGGGCCACTTTGAATCAATAAACTCATGTTGTTCAGTGCTGGGAAATTTTCTTGCATTATTTTGTTTATAATTTTCTCCCCTCTCTTTTCTTTTTTATCTTTTGCTAAATTCCTGTTATTCAGATCTTTGTTATACTATGTTGTTGTTGTACATGCCATCGAGTCTGACTCATAGTGACTCCATGTGACAGAGTAGAACTGTCCTATAGGGTTTTGTAGGCTGTAATCTTTATGGGATCAGATCACAAGATCTTTTCTCCTGTAGATTGGCTGGTGGGTTTAAACCACCAACCTTTCAGTTAGCATCTGAGTGCTTAACTGTTGTGACACTAGAGCGCCATTGTCCTCTAATTTTCTTATCTTTTATCTACTATTTTTCATTCCTATTTTGCTCTATTTCCTACAAGATTTTTATTGAGGTTTTTTTTTTTTTCTTTCTACCATGTATTTTATTTCCAAAATTCTTTTTTGTTCTCTAAATGCTCTTTTTAAATAGTATCCTGTCCTTGCTTCTTGGTTGCAGTATCATCTCGTTTTTCTCTGATGATATTAATGATTGTTTTGTCTTGGTTTTGGACATTTTCTTCTCTCTGAGTTGTTTCCGTATTTTTTGATTAGTTGGTTGGTTGATTTTTTTTTTTTTTTTAAATCTTTCTCATGTTTGAGGTTTTCCTAAGTAATCCTTGAAAGTACTAATGTGTAAGAATGAGAACTAAAAAGCTAATCAGAAGCTCTGAGCACGTGAGTGGGGCTTGTCAAGTTGACTTTCTCTGGGGGCGACATGGCTGAGTCACTTGCTTGTAGAACCTTCAAAGTCAGGATCTTTCTGCCTGGGCTGGTCAGACTTCCCAGAAAAGAGAGAGAGGCCTGGCTGGCTGCCAGCTTCTAGGAGTTGAGTGGGGCTCTCAGCATTCAGCATGGCAGCTGAATGCCCCTGTTTTCTACCTACCGCCCCCACTTTCAGCAGGGTCAGGGATTGTCCATTGTACTCTCTCCAAGAATAAGTCTCCAAGCTCTGCTGGAATAGAGGGATGGGAAATAGGAAGTTGGCTGGCTTCTTAAATACTTCTAGAAGGACTTTGAGTCTTTGGCGAATTCACGTTAGTTTCTGGCTTTCCCCACTGCCAGTTTAGAAGTCACCTTTCTAGAGAGTTATTCCACTTGTCCATCTGTTTTCCCAGCTACCAAAATGTGGATGCTGCTGCCTCCTCTCCCATTTTCCCTGTCTGGTGGACTCATGCCCCTCTTCCATCTCACAGTGCACTTTCAGGGGCAGCACGAGTAGCTGCAAACCTCCATCTCCACATAGAAGCCCTCATCGTGGTCTTCTGAGGGCCGATCTTGGGGTCATGCACCAAGGGGGAAGCCTGGAGGTTCAGGGTGAGGGGTAGAGCCAGGATTTGTCCTCAGGGCCGTCTGTCAGCCAGGTCCAGCCTCCTGGTTCCTGGAACTCTGGGCAGGCAGGTGTCATGGGGTGGAGTCCCAGAATTCCAGGGGCAGGGAGCAGGGGGCAGGGCCAGGTGGTTGGACAAACAGACCAAAGGTGAGAACAGTGTGGGCCTCAGACCAGGCCTGGCCAGCTGGACCGACGCACCATGAGGTGAGTGGGAGCCCCCTGCAGCTTCCTGGCTGGGGGAAGGTGTGATCACAGGCCTAGGCCCTCACCCCTGTACCCTGCCCTCAGACTGCTGATCTTCCTGGGCCTGCTGTGTGGCACAGCGGCTCCACCCCCGGCCCCGCGGTGGCCAAAACCCGTGTTTGGGCGCCTGGCATCTCCTGGTTTCCCGGGGGAGTACGCCAATAGGCAGGAGCAGCGCTGGACCCTGACTGCGCCCCCTGGCTACCGCCTGCGCCTCTACTTCACCCACTTCGACCTGGAGCTCTCCTACCTCTGCGAATATGACTTTGTCAAGGTGCCACCTGGCGGGGATGGCCTGGGGCCTCTCGGGGCTAGGGGTCACACTGTGTGCTGTGGGCACAGGGACACCTGGGAGCAGGGTCTGGCCTCAGCCAGGAGGGAGGGAAGGCCCTGCTTGGGTCTTGTCCTACCTCCCTGTGACCTCGGACCCCACAGCTGAGCTCAGGGGCCAAGGTGCTTGCCACACTGTGTGGCTGGGAGAGCACAGACACGGAGCAGGCACCCGGCAACACCGTCTTCTACTCGCTACCGGGCTCCAGCCTGGAGGTCACTTTCCGTTCCGACTATTCCAACGAGAAGCCGTTCACGGGCTTTGAGGCCTTCTACGCAGCAGAGGGTGAGCTGGGGGTATTGGGGGGCCCCGAGATGACCCATCTGCAGCCGAGGTCACTCTCTGGGTCAGGCCAGGCCACCCTTCAGTCTCTCCACCTCCCTGGGAAGGGCCCTGGGCCTGGGGTCCTGCCAAACCAGGGAGAGACTTGTCCTTGGGGCCTGACATCACCCACAATGCAAACACTAGTAACAGTTACTACCTCCACTTGCTCACGGGGACAGAGCTCCCATTCTGTGCCAGGTTCTGAGTCAGGGACCCGTGGCATCTCGAATCCTCACAGCCCCCCTCTGATGCAAGGGCTGAATGACCCCACTTCCAGGTGGGAATACAAAGTTCTGCTGGTGAAGGGCTGCTCAGGACCCACAAAGGGAGGCCAGCCTCTCTATGCTCCTCACAAGGTTGCTGCAACGGTTAAATGGAACCTACTGTAGTAGCTGTAGGTCCCCGTGTGCACAAACTGTTTGTGCTCAACTACTAATCAAAAGATTGGCGGTTTGAACCCATCCAACAGTGCCTCAGAAGAAAGGCCTGGTGATCTGCTTCCATAAAGATTACAGCCAAGAAAACCCTATGGAGCAGTTCTGTAACACATGGGGCTACCGTGAGTCAGAACTGACTCAAAGGCAATGGGATTGGTTCTTTTCTTTTTGTACTTTAGATGAAGGTTTACAGAACAAACTAGCTTCTCATTAAACAACTAGTACATATATTGTTTTGTGACATTGGTTAACAACCCCACAAGATGTCAACACTCTCGCTTCTTGATCTCGGGTTCCCTATTACCAGCTTCCTGTCCCTTCCTGCCTTCTAGTCCTTGCCCCTGGCTGTTGTGCCCCTTAGTCTCGTTTTGTTTTATGGGCCTGTCTAATCTTTGGCTGAAGGATGAACCTCAGGAGTGACTTCATTACTGAGCTAAAAGGGTGTCCGGGGGCCATACTCTCGGGGTTTCTCCAGTCTCTGCCAGGCCAGTAAGTCTGGTCTTTTTTTGTGAGTTAGAATTTTGTCCTACATTTTTCTCCAGCTCTGTCTGGGACCCTCTGTTGTGCTCCCTGTCAGAGCAGTCGGTGGTGGTAGCCAGGCACCATCTAGTTGTGCAGGACTCAGTCTGGTGGAGGCCGTGGTAGTTGTGGCCCTTCAGTCCTTTGGACTCATCTTTCTGTTTTTTAGGGTTTTTTGTAGTGGTTGTAGCACTGCCCACTGGGTTTGATTTCTAGCTGTCCCTTCACTAACTTAGTGACAGGACACTTCAGTTCATTGGTTTAAAAAATGTGGCATTAGCATCTCCCTCCAAGGTTGTTGGGAGGTTGCAATGGCAGGGGGCCTGTAAAGTGGTTGGCACAGCACGGCCCACCCTGTTGGGCGCACACAGCCCACCCTGTTGGGCGCACACAGCCCACCCTGTGGGCTAGTGCAGCCTCCACTCCTGTCAGCCATGGAGTCCAAGTCAGGTGACTGCCTGGGGTCAGCCAGTGCCTGTCCCTCCCTGCTGACCGCCCTCCTGGCTTGCCTCTCCCCCAGACATCGACGAGTGCCAGGTGGCCCCAGGAGAGGCACCCGCCTGTGACCACCACTGCCACAACTACCTGGGTGGCTTCTACTGCTCCTGCCGCCCTGGCTACGTGCTTCACCAGAACAAGCACACCTGCTCAGGTGAACTGGGGCTGGGGAGTACCCTGTCCCCAGGCCCAGCCCCCACCCCACCGCAGATACCCCAATCTCCTGAAGCCATGGAGGGGCTGGAGGGACCACTTTAGGGCTGGCCGACTGGGAGGCGTCTCATAGCCCTCCTCTTCCCACCCCTTCTCTGACCCTCAAGCCTCTCTTTCCCGCTGTCCCCTCATAAGCCCAAATCTCTCCTGCTCACCTGACCCTGTGCCTTCTTCTCCTGGGGTGGGGGGACCCAGGCCTGGAGTCTCTGGCCAATTTGGGCTCACCAGGGCCCCCTCCTTCCATAAAACTTCCGGGGGTGGGAAGTGGTCAGGGCGTGCTTTGGCCTCCACTGCCCGGACTCACCTCCCGTTCCCCGCCAGGCTCCTGGACCCCAAACCTGCTTGTGCTCTGGAGAATGGGCAGGCACTGCCCCCTCCACCCTGAGTCTCTCCCTGTGTCTTTCCGTCTGTCTCTCTCGTCTTTTCCAGAGCAGAGTCTCTAGCCCCCCTCGGGGCTCCGGCCTGCCCAGCGGGCCAGAAGCCAGAGGAGCCTGCTGCCTGCAGCCACCCACTGCCCCTCCCTCTCCCACTATGGACCTGACAATAAACCCGGCTCCTTTTCCGCTGCTGCCTGTCTCTGGGGTCGATGTGGGCTGGGCCAGCAGGGTAACTTCTCAGACCCCGGCCCCCTCCTCTCCCTGCTCACCCTCATCACAGCCTGGTGGGAGCCCTCTCCACGGGGCCACGGGCCCCTTTGCCAGAGGGTCCTGAGACTGCTTGCTGCAGCCCCCATTGTTGAAGATGGGGAGAGGGGCGGGGGTTGCCTGAGTCCTTGAGCTGAGTGGAGCAACCTTGGGCCACCTCCTGTTCAGAAAACAACTCAGGACCTGTGTGTGCTGGTCTGGGAGCACTGACCCAGAGCGGGACACTCAAGGAGGTGTTCACCGAGGGGGGCAGTCTGACCCCCCAAATCCCTCTGTCCCATAGGAGCAGCCACTTGGAAAAAGGAAGCCAGAGTCGGGAGTCCCCACATCCTAGGAGCATCCTGGCTCTAATGCCTGCATCCCAGACCCCCTCTGCAGCTGGGGTGGGGTGAGGGTGGGTCGGGGTGAGGGTGGGGAGGACAGCCCTGCCTTAGTGATGGAGCCCCAAGCATCCGTCAGCTGTTCCAGTGAGGAAGGGGGCACCAGACTCATTTATGGTCAGTGTCGACTGAACTGCCCTGAACGGCTCCCAGGGCAGGGCCCAGAGCTGTGGGCAGTCAGGCAAGGAGTTGCCAGAGAGTGAGAGGCCCGACTGGCAGCGCGCCTTCTGGTGGATGAACTTGGGAATTGCTGGGGCCGGGTGGTGGTGGGGGAATACCTGGGGGAGCCTTTCCCCTGAATTTGTGGGGAACAAGGAGAGCCCCTCCCTTCTTCTTTGCCTCCTTCCTTCCCTCCTCCCACCACAGCAGAGCCTGGCCTCCCTCCCCCCTTCACCTCGGGGCTGTGACTGGCTCAGTACTCACCCCTCAGGAGCCTCAGCTTAAGGCCTTGCCCTCTCAGGTGTGAGTGGTTGCCTTTGGCGAACTTCCCTCCAGAGTGCAACCTTTGCAGCTCAAGCCTCAAAGCAAGAGAACCCCCTTCCGAAACTGTCCCCATTGGGGTTGGATTGGTGTTTGGTTTCCGGTGCTGGTCGCAGATGGGGCCCTGGCCCAGACCCAGGGCCACAGAAGGCCCAGCAGGCCCCTGCCCTAGTGCTCTGCTCCCACCTCCCCCCACCACCCCCCACCGCAAGGCTGACAGGAAGTAGGGCAGGGCAGGAGGTCGCATCTGCAGGCTCAAGCTGCGGGCCATCTCTTCCCCTCCCAGCCTTGTGCTCAGGCCAAGTTTTCACCAAGCGCTTTGGGGAGCTCAGCAGCCCAGAATACCCGAAGCCTTACCCCAAACTCTCCAGCTGCACCTACAGAATCCACCTGGAGGAGGGGTTCAACGTCATCCTGGATTTTGTGGAGTCCTTCAACGTGGAGACACACCCGGAAACCCAGTGCCCCTACGACTCCCTCAAGGTCTGGCTCCTGGGACCCACCTGTCCTGGATCCTCCCCTTGCCCAGCTGCCTCCCATTTCCTTCAGCACCACCCTCAGGTCCTTGTCCAGCTTGGTCCCCATCTTAGTCATCTAGTGCTGCTATAGCAAAAATTTCACAAGTGGATGGCTTGAACAAACAAATTATTTTCTCACAGTTTAGGAGGCTAGAAGTCCAATTACAGAGCACGGGCTATAGGGGAAGGCTTTCTCTCTCTGTTGGCTCTGGAGGAAGGTCCTTTTCTTTTCAGCTTGTTCTCTGGTTCCTTGGAGATCTCCGTGTGGCTTGGCATCTATCTTGCCCCATCTCTGCTTGCTTAATCTGCTCCTTTTATATCTTGTAAGAGATTGACTCAAGACACACAGTACAGTAATCCTACCTCATTAACATAACAAAGACAACCCATTCCCAAATGGGATTATAACCATAGAAATAGAGGTTAGGATTTACAACACATATTTTGAGGGGACACTATTCAATCCATAACAGTCCCTCCATACCACACATGAGTGGTACACTTTGAGGAGTGGTTGCTGCCCCTGACCCAGAGTCATTGTAGCCCCCTGACCTAACCTGCCACTCTGCCCAGTCCCCTGAAGAAGGGGACACAGGAGGGGGGGACTTCTCCATGGGTGAGAAGATGCAGGCAAGAAGCTGGGAAGGGGAATTCCCGGCAGCAAGACCTCCTCCATCTGGCCAGACTTCCAGCAGAGACCCTGCCCAATGGAGGTGGTGCCCCATCCCACCCAGACTCTCCATGGGGGGTCCAAGCCAGGCTGTGACCTTCAAAATGAGGGAGGAACTGGGAGGGGGGAAGGGAGCTCCCTGACTCATGCCCTAGGTCTGCCTCACCAGCTCTCCATGGAGTTGCTGAGGGGCCAGTGTAGCACCCTTTTCAACCTAGGCAGGGCCCCTGGCAGCAGGACCTGAGGTTTATGGGCCTCCCCTCTTTCAGATTCAGACTGACAAAGAGGAATATGGCCCATTTTGTGGGACAACGTTGCCTCCCAGAATTGAATCAAAGAGCAACATTGTGACCCTCACATTTGTCAGTGATCAATCAGGGGACCACACAGGCTGGAAGATACACTACACAAGCACAGGTGAGAGGAAGTAGGTCCTGGATCCAGGTGGAAAGCTTGGAGTTTCCATCTCTTCCAGGAGGGTCAAGGGCTCCGGGAGAAGTTGGGCAAGAAGAGAGCTGTGTGGGAGCATTGGATGTGTGCAGAATTGAACTCTTTCCGGGCCAGGCCTGGGGAGGCAGACCAGGTGTGAGTGGGATGGTCTGTGAGGCAATGGTCCTCTGAGGCGAAACATCTATCCCTCCTCCTTCCGTCCTTCCTTCCATCCATCTATTTGTCCATCCACCCATCCACCTTCCTTCCTTCCTTCCAACCATCCATCCTTCCATCCATCCATCATCCATCCATCCATCCATCCATCCATCTATTCTTCCTTCCTTCCTTCCTTCCTTCCTTCAATGCTGACTTAGTTTCCTAATGCTGCTATAACAGAAATATCACAAGTGGGTGGCTTTAAAGAACAGACATTTATTTTCTCACAGTTTTGAAGGCTAAAAGTACAAATCAGGATCTCAGCCATGTTGGTTTCTTCCCTCAGCCCTCATGTTCCTTGGTTTCTTGGCAATCCTCATATGGCATCTGTCTTCCCCAGTATGTGCTTGCTTCTCTCTGTGTCTATGCTGCTCTTTATAACTCAGAAGTGACTAGATTTAGGATCCACCCTACACTATGATATGGCCTCATTTACATAACAAAGAAAGCCCTGTTTCTAAACAGAGTTACATTTGTAGGTATAGAGGTTTGGACTCCAACACGTATTTTGGGAGAACACAATTCAGTCCATCCTTCCTTCCTTCCATCCATCCATGCCTCCTTCCATCCATTCATCCACCATCCATCCATCCACCTTCTATCCATTCATCTTCCTTCCATTCATCCACCCACTCACTCCCCCTGTGCAGGGGATATGTACTGCAGAAGTCACAGTCTCCACAGCCTCTGCCTTCAGTCCAGTGAGGGGATAGTCACAGTGACACAACCAGAGCCCGTGGCAAGTGCAGCCTTAGAGCTAAGCACCAGGCATGATGAGAGCCCAGAAGAGAAGCCTGGCCCAGGTGGGGGCTGGGTGCTAAGGAAGCTGTCCTAGAACAGAAACACCGCAGATTAGATCTAAAGAATAAGGAGGTGTTGGGGGAAGGTAGAAGGCTGTTCCAGGAGGAGAGAAGAGTATGTGCCAAAGCCCCGAGGCACCACAGCTTCAGGGTGTGGAGGTGGAAGTTGAGGTGTGGGGTGTGAGGAGAATGAAGATGAGGCTGGAGAGATGGGGAGGGGACTTCCATCATGGAGGGCCTGGGCTGGAGCTACAGTTCAGGGAGTCTGCAGTGGAGTCTGAGGCACTGGCTCTCTCCACTACCCACTGGCCCTGGTTCTGCCTCTGGGCCTGGCCGAACCTTCCCCCACCCCTTCCTATGACAGACCTTCAAACATGTCGCCACCTCCTGGGCACAATTCCAAGCCCCCCACTTTCTAGGGCACTGTCCTCCGTACATATCCGTCCCTCTCGCTGCTCTCAGCCAGCAGGTCTTTCAGGATGTCTTCAAAAGAACAGGGTAACTGAGCTAGGGAGGCAGAGACAAGTAACAGCTCCAAAGCACCAAAAAAAAAAAAAAAAAAAAAAAACCAAAAAACACCACACACAAAAAACCTCCAGAGCTCAGGCTTCCGTGTGAGACTGCCAGGTTTGTGTCCTGGCTCTTCTGCTGACTGGCTGTGTGACATCAAACTTGTTATGTGACCTTTCTGAGCCTTCATTTGCTTACTGTCAAAAGGATAACAGCATCTTCCAAGAGTGGGACTCGGGTAAGGCTTCTCTGGGCCCAGTGTGGGGCACGTAAGGGTGATCACTAGGTTACACGAGTCATCTTTAAAATGAGAAAATCTAGCTAGGAAAGATGACCCCTTGGGCCACCTCTGATAGAAGTGTGGGAAAGGCCTGGGGGCTGGCTGGTCAGAAAGAGGGAGGCCAGCATGTTGGGAACATTTCATTTGTCCCATGTTCACTTTGGAAAGCCTATTGTTTTCCTGTATGTTTTAGTAATACCAAAACCAGACCTGTTACCATTAAGTTAATTCCAACTCGTAGCCACCCTATGGGACAGAGTAGAACTGCCCCATAGGGTTTCCAAGGCTGTAATCTTTACGGAAGCAGATTGCCACATCCTTCTCCCAAGGAGATGCTGGTGGGTTCAAACTGCCTACCTTTTGGTTAGCAGCCAAGTGCTTAACCACTGCACCACCGGTGCTCCTTTGGTTTTAGTAATAAGATTTGTAAAACTGAAGTGCTGGTTTCAGAGGGGCGGGCTCAGACTTGGCCAGGTTTCTGGGGTAAAGCCAGCGTACACTCAGCCTTCTGGTGTGCCAGAAGGAGGGGGTGGGCAGGAAGCCAGCCTGGGTACCAGACGGCCTCAGGAAGACCTTGGTCTCCCTGGGGCTCCCAGCCTGTCCCTGGAGACTGGTTCCCTGAGGGGAGGCTCCTGGCAGCGTGGGACCTATGGCGCTCCAGAATTCAGGCTGGGTGAGGTGAACCCAGCTGTTCCGGAAAGTTAGCCGGGATCATTAGCCAAGGAGAGCAGCAGCTGGAGGGCGAAGGGGACTCAGCATCTGGCTGGCATATTTTGGGGGTAGTGGTGGGGGGCTGAATTCAAGCCTTGGGGTGAGTGTAGGCCAGGGATTATGGGGGTGGGGCAGAGTGGAAGAGTCTACCTGGTGGCTGGTGGTGCACTGTGGCCAGGTGCTCCCTGAGTAAGTCTGGATCTTTAGTTCCCTTCCTGTGCAACTTGAGGTCTCTGAACCCCAGTTCTCCTATGCCAGGATGGCTGTCCTACAGGGCTGTCGTGAGGTCTAATTGCAACTCACTGAACAAGGCACTATTCTTGGTGCTTCACATTTGATCCTCATCACAGCCCTGGGAAGTGAGGACTATTATCATCACTACCCCCATCTTACAGATGAGGAAACTGAAGCCCAGAAAGGTTAAAAATAATCATGAGAAACGGAGAGCTGGGATTTAAAAGGCATACCACCAGAAATACCAGTTGCCATGGAGTCTACTCTGACTCATGGCAACCCCATGCGTGTCAGAGTAGAGCTCTGCTCCATGGCTGATTTCTTCAGTAGATAGCAGGCCTTTCTACTGAGGCACTTATCGATGGACTTAAACTTCCAACCTTTCGGTTAGCCGCCGAGCACCACCCAGGGACTCCAAAGCCATATAGTCCAGCTCCTTTCCTCAGTTACACCTCCTCCTAATTTGAAGCATGTGTACGTGACATTCCTGGCATGGAGCAGTCGCTTGGTTGGTGGTTGCTGCACTATCTCACCGTGTACCTGGCTTTCTGACATACCTTTAGCTGAATCCCAGGCGAGACAACCAATCTTAACGTGTACAACAAGCACCTGGAAGTTTAATCTTGTCTTTGGCTTTAAATCATTAAGCAACACTATCCCACTTGTGGCAAACTCTCCTTTCCCATGTTAAGTGTTTCCTGTATAAAGAACTTTAAACAGCTAAATTCAGACCTGGCAGGTATGGACCAGTCAAAACCGGTAAGCCTCTCGTTTCCTCTACACAGCTCTGCCGTGCCCTGATCCGATAGCACCACCTAATGGCCACATTTCACCTATGCAAGACAGATACATCCTGAAAGACCGCTTCTCCATCTTCTGTGAGACTGGCTATGAGCTTCTGCAAGTAAGTTAATACAAAACTGTATGTACACTAGGATCATGAGAGTTTTAAAAAATATATGGGAAAATATGAAAATGGAAAAATAGCTGCTGTGTCAGTATCGTGGTTCTTTTGTGTATGCTCAAATGAGAAAAATCAAAGAAACAAGTTTACTGAGAACAAGAAGGGTGGCTACAGAGAATTTTTTTTATTCTTAGGAATTCTGCTTAAAAGCTACTTTTGCAGGATGGTGATTAAAATGGGCAACTTCTCCTATTTTTTCACACAGTACAGCAGCCCCTGGTAGAGTGGCTGGCACAACACAAAGATGAGCTTGCTGTCGTTGGTCCATGTTCTTGGTGACATTGCCTTGTGTTAAATTAAGGTTCTCTCCCTGGCCAAATGATGACCTTCCCATGCAACAACTCCTGGGCCCCCAAAAAATCCTGGGCCCTTGGAAATAGTATATTCGGCAAAGTTATAAACAGTGATCACTGTTAAGGGAGATGGAGTATAATTTGAAAAAATGCTTAGCGTGCTGCTTTAGGGGCACAGGTAAGAGATTAATACATCCTCTTTATGTTCTTCAAAATTGTCACTGACTCCCAGTGGTAAAAAGTAATAACATTGAAATGATAGCTAGCTATGCAGTCCACAGTCCTATGGAGGGACAAAACCAAAAAAAAAAAAAAAAAGGTCGGACATTTTTCCCACCTTGCAAAACTTCTTGGGCAGGCTCTTTCCCACAGCTTCTTGGACTGCAAAAACCCTGCTCAGTTTCTGATTTTAAAAATATCATCCTGATATTGTTTGAGGGATAAAACTTCTGCCAAAATCATCTCCTTTAAAAAAAAAATAATGAAGTAGTACTTTTATTTCAGGTTCTTATTGTGGCAGTATCACAACACCATCTTTATATTAGTCATACTTTTATTAGGCATTTTCTCTGAGATTTTAAACTGAATCTGTATTTAGATATTTCAAACAAATGCCAAATATTAGTCTAATTGTGTTAATCTGGAAAAATTGGTCAATTATTTGTGTCATCATATATTCTTACATGCTGTTTATAAAGCAAACATGGATTTTTAGCAATCTCTGTGCAATCTTGCCTAGGACATATACAACAAGATTGAGTGGGCATTCAAATTACAGTAACAATCAAATTGTGAGAATTATATTTGTTTGACTTCTTAAAAATGAGGTTTCTAAACAAGTTCTTCAGACCTGATACAAATACCAGGAAAGCCATATACACAAATGTACTGCTAGATACAGCAAATTATTTTTATTTTTTTATTGTGCTTTAGGTGAAAGTTTACAGCTCAAGTTAATTTCTCATCCAAAAATTTATACACATACTGTCTTGTGGTATTAGTTGCAATCCCCACAATGTGACAGCACACTCCTCCTTTCCACCCTAGGTTCCCTGTATCCATTCAACCAGTTCCTATCCCTTCCTGCCTTCTCATCCTGCTTTTGGACAGGAGCTGCCCATTTGGTCTCATATATCTGATTGAACTAAGCATCACACTCCTCACATGTATTATATTTTGTTTTATAGTCTTGTCTAATCTTTGTCTGAAAAGTGGGCTTCAGGAATGGTTTCAGTTCTGGGTTAACAGTGCGTCCGAGGGCCATAGTTTCAGGGGTCCCTTTAATGTTTGATTTTAGAAAAAAATTATCTCAGTAAGTCAAAAATATTTCCCTGGAAACAATACAAGCGATGAAAGCTGAGAACACACATGGAAAGCTTATGAAAAAGCTATAATCATCTTCCTCCAGTAATTACCACGCGCTAGAAACATACCGAGACACCTCGGCTCCTTGTCTGATCAGGCTGACCTTTCCTAATTTTTTAAATCATAAAGCTTTGGCACTTAAAGAGAAATACCGATGGGGTATCAGTGGGAACTCAGGAGATCTGTTACATTCTTGATTAAAGTGGAAAGCAAAAAACAAAAAAGTATCATAAATTGCTGCCAAGGTCAACATTTGATTCACAAAATACCAGTGCACGTTGGAAGATACATAACACAGGAGATATAAACCAGCAGAGCTGCTGGTAACAACGGTGCACACGCACCACAGCACAGAGTTGGGTCAAACGCCCACGTGTCGGGCACCCAGCACATCACCAGACGCTAAAGCCAGCCGCAGTAGTATGTCACCCCCTTACAAGCATTCATGTGAAACACTAGGTGAGAACAGCTTTGTAGAGTGGATTTTATGATGTAAATAAGGAAACGAATATTTTCTGAATTCCTCTGTAGGGTTACTTGCCCCTGAAATCATTTGCTGCAGTCTGTCAGAAAGATGGATCTTGGGACCGACCGATGCCGGAATGCAGCAGTACGGTCATGTGGTGACTGCAACTCCCGAAACTGCTTCTGCTGCTGCTACTACTTCTACTGTTTTTTTTTTTTAACTTTTTTTTTTAACTTTTTAAAAATTATTCTATTTATATCAGGGCTTGAATTGCAAATTTGCTTGTTTCCCTCTCAGTGAACTCTTAGAAGTTACAACAGAACCAAGCTACTAGGAAAAGTTATTTGCTTTAGAAAAACATGCTTTAAAAAATATGTAATTTTTCTAAGCATAAAAGTAATATTCATTGTAGAAAATGGGGAAATGCAGAAAATTACAAACATTTTACTACTCACAATCCCACCATTTGAGATTATAATCACTATTTTGGTGTGTTATTTGCCGGTGAGTCAATTCTGACTCATGGCGACCCCATGTGTACAGAGAACTACTCCACAGGGTTTTCAAGGCTGTGACCAGGGTCTATCTTCCGAGGTGCCTCTGGGTAGGTTCAAACTGTCAAGCTCTTGGCTAGTAGTCAAGCGCTTAGCTTTTTGCGCCACTCAGGGATACTCTATTTTGGTGATGTTGTTGTTGTTAGATACTGCAGAGTCAATTTTGAATCACAGCGACCCTGTATGACACAGTGGAACGGCCCCATAGGGCTTTCTTGGCTGTGATCTTTTTACAGAAGCAGATTGCCAGGTCTTTCTCCCATGATCTCGCTGGGTGGCTTCAAATCACCAACCTTTTAGTTAGCAACTGAGCACTTAACCATTTGCACCACCAGGGCTCCTTTATTTTCATGCATAGCCCTCCAATTAATTACACACGTATTTCTGTGCATATGAACACATATAGTCTCCCTATGTATGGATGGGGTAATTGTATGTGCACACACACACACACACCAAACTGGGGTAATGGTGTACATTTTGTGGATTAAGAATCAAATACATTATTTTTTCAATATAATTGAAAAAACAATCAAAATTTACGAAAATAAATAACGAAAGCCTCTCTTTGCCTAGCTCCCCGAATTAACACTGACAAGAGCTTAGGGTCTATTCCTTCACGTTTTCTTCTTCTATTGTGTCAGCTGCTGTGGTTCCGACTCAGAGCGACCCTCATATGCGCACCAGAACTAAGTGCTGCCCAGTCCCACACCATCCCCATGATCTCCAGCATGTCTAAATCCATTGTGGCCACTGTGTCAACCCATCTCATTGAGGGCCTCCCTCACATTCGCTGGCTCTCCGCTACGTCAAATATGGCTTCCCCTTCCAGTGGTCTTTCCTGATGTGTCCAAAGTAACATTATTCATGCTATATATACTAACATGTATCTCATTACTATATACTTTTTGCCAAAATGGGATACTAAACTTGATCACAATTTGCTTTTTCTTCCCTAATGTTCTTTCCACATCAACCCAAATATTAATGGATCCACTTCTTTTTAGTGATACGGTATTCCATTGCATGATGTATCCTATTCAATGACTCCTGTTTTTTCCAGTTACTATTACATAATCTCTATACTTAATACCCATGTACATATGTTTTTACACATTTTGTGCAAGTTTCTACAAAATACATTCCTAGGTGAATTTCAGTATTTCATTTGATAAATTTACATTCCCACCAATGAGACTACAAATTCTTTCAGTTCAAAAAAACAGTAAAGAAGAGCTGGCATCGATGGGAGTCTTGGGAGTCAAAGGTCTGGTTTGAACCCTGACTCTGCCATTTTTTGCTCAAATCTCTCCACCCATTTCCTTATCTATAGACTGGCTGAGTGGCTACATCACGGAGTTGCTGTGGGGATTAAAAATATAGGTAAAGCACTTGGCACAGAGCCAGGCACACAGTAGACACTTAGGACTATTATCAAGTTGCTGAAAACTATTTAAATACCAGTATCTGGTTGTCTATGTGTAAAACTGTGGCTTAAGACTCAATTCGCTTTGTCTCATGAATAGTTACTTCACATTAGTAATGTCCTGTGAATTCGAGTTCAAATTAGAAGTATGAAATGGCCAACATCCCAAAATGTTTTTTTTAATCACTGCAAGGTCTTCTAAAAGGTTCAACTCATCATCTAATGGCCTTCAATTTTCTCCTTTGTTTTGTTGTATCCCCTTCAACCCTAAGGCCAGCCAAATTGCAGAGCGCCATTTTATGTGGAAACAGATCGCGCAGGCGGTGCCCGTGTCTGTCTTCCGCATTGCTGTTTCGCTGCAGAGCTTTGTGCGTGAAGCAAGAACAGAAAGGAAACCCAAGTGGCTTCAAATTCCCTTACACTGCCTTCACCCATGGCCGCCTCCACCTCAAGCTAGCCATTTAGTTAGGAACAGGGATGAAAGTGATGCTTTGAACCCACACTAAAATGATTTTCTCCATTTTGAGAGATGAAATTACAAACGTCCACCCTACAAAGGAAAATGAATATCGCTTCAAGTTACAGCACCACAGGGCACAACCACTTATCTAGTTAGTTGCTTTGTCACCATTAACGGTATTATCTGAAGTACAACTGACCCTCCTTCTCTCCGTGTTTATTAGTTGTTGACTGCGGCCCTCCTGATGACCTGCCCAATGGCCAAGTCGAATACATGACAGGTCCGGAAGTGACCACTTACAAAGCTGTGATTCAGTACAGCTGTAAAGAAAGGTTCTACACAATGAAAACGAATGATGGTAAGCAAATTTTTCAAAGTTGGGAGTGGGCGACATTGGAACTTAAGCCCTCAGCCTGAAAATAAACTTCAACCAACATTTTTGGCTAAGGCTAAACCAAAGATTAAAAGGCACTTCTCCCACTGCTAAGTGAAATATTATAGCTGAAGTGACTTTAATGTCAATTTGCAAGAATCTGAAAACAGATCTTATCTAGTAAATGACTACTACAAACACACAATATATTCCAAATGGTTTAATTTAACAAGTCAAAAACCTTATCATTAAGCACTTGAGATCTTGATACATATTCAAGTTATACATCTAAAAGGTTTCCACTTTGCAAGCAAACATGGTACGGCAGAGACCGCTATTTATGAAATCATGTAAAATGGTTATTCAGACACCTCTATTTTCCATGGATGCTCAATAATCAACATTTTTCAAGGGGGTATTCAAGCAAATGACAACCACCTTATACATGCAGTTAAACATTTTTGCGTTTCCAATGATTTGCAGGTAAATATGTGTGTGAGGCTGATGGATTCTGGACGAGCTCCAAAGGAGGAAAATCACTCCCAGTCTGTGAGCCTGGTAATGGACACATTTACACAACAGATTCGTAATTGATGGAAAGTAGAACTGGGTAGTAGACAATAAGTAGAGCTTTAGCTGTGGTAGGCAGAAATGGAACTTCAGCACTTGGCTCTCAGACTAAGTTATTATTTCCAAATAATATGTTCTCATTATCCTTTTACATGTAGAGAGGTTGTTGGGTGCTGACTACATCAGTCATTTGATTATTTTTGACCTTATAACTAGGCAAACATAAAAAATTAAATGATTTTTAAAATTATCTTAACCCATTTATACATTCATAAACATGAGTTCTTCTGCTGAGTTACTTTTCTTCTCCATAAAAATGCTATTAAAACCCAAAGCTAATAACTTGATTATTTCCCTAAGCAACTGTTTTCAACGACGCCTAATTTTTAAACATAAATGCAATTTGCCTTTTAATGGTACTTTAAAACTTCTACCAGAATTGGCTTTGAAGATAAACAAACAAACCCAGAAAGGTAATAATACATTCATTACCCGCGTTCTTTGGCTTAGGTTTTTTTTTTTTAAGCCTTATCTTGGTTCACGTATTTGGAAGTTTTAATACAAGTATTCTGCTACAACAGAAGCATATATGCTGCATTAATGAGCGTATTTAGATAGCAATAAAGATACAGTAAAATTTAGTGTTTGGAGGAATCAACTAGACCAAAAATAATAATTTCTGTACCTGAATGGTCCTGGCTACAACAGCAAATTTCTAATGTCTAAAATATTTAAATGTTTAAAGGTGAAAGTAATTTTGCAAATGCTGTGACAGCGACCTTAGTGCCTGCTTTACCAGAATTACATGGTAAAGACCCCATTTTACAAATAGGAAAATAGAAGCGATAAAAGGTTATTTTCTTTCATTCCTATGCACATTATCCAGTGCATAAGCTCAAGACAATTCTTGTTTGTCCGCTTAATTTTCCCAATTTTGCAGACCAAATTCCTTTGGCAAAACACAAGATTCTAAAAGTTAATTTTCACTCATCTAATTTTCTGAGGAGGTAAGAAATACCAAAAGATCTTATCAGGTCTTTGAACTGTGCTGTTTTAAAACAGCATCACTTGCCTGTGGACATCCATCAATTCACATGATCTAATTTTTGGTTGATATTAAATATATACAATTCCAAAGTGGTAATAATTTGAGAAAAATACCACTAGGGCTTTATAAAGGCTCTATGTATCTGCTTCTTTCCCCAGTTTGTGGTTTATCAACCCGTACTACAGGAGGTCGTATATATGGAGGGCAAAATGCAAAGCTTGGTGACTTTCCTTGGCAAGCCCTGCTATTAGGTGGAACAACAGCAGCAGGTGCACTTCTATATGACGACTGGATTCTAACAGCTGCTCATGCTGTCTACGGGCAGAAAGACGATGTGTCTTCCTTGGACATCAGAATGGGTGCCCTGAAGAGACTATCATCTAATTATACACAAGCCCAAGCAGAAGCCATTTTTATACATGAAGGTTACACTCATGACGCTGATTTCGACAACGACATAGCACTGATTAAACTGAAGAACAAAGTTGTAATCAATAGCAACATCATGCCTATTTGTTTGCCAAGAAAAGAAGCGGAATCCTTCATGAGGACAAATGACATTGGAACCGCATCTGGATGGGGATTAACCCAAAGAGGTTTTCTTGCCAGAAATCTAATGTTTGTTGACCTACCAATTGTTGACCACCAAAAATGTACTGCTGCATATGAAAAGAAGCCCTACCCAGGGGCCAGAGTAACTGATAACATGCTATGTGCTGGCTTAGAAAGTGGGGGCAAGGACAGCTGTAGAGGTGACAGTGGAGGGGCTTTAGTGTTTCTAGATAATGAGACACAGAGGTGGTTTGTAGGAGGAATAGTGTCTTGGGGCTCCCTTAATTGCGGGGAAGCAAAGCAGTATGGAGTCTACACAAAAGTCATGAACTACATTCCGTGGATCAAAAACATAATTAGTAAGTTTTAATTTGCATGTCTTCAATCAGTAAATGATTCCTTATTTTTTTAAATAATCTGTAAAGATTTTAACAGCAACAGGAGCTGAAAATCACTAACACAGTTGTCACTTGGCTCAATCAAAGACAAAAGCCAACTACAGGTGAGACTGCCATTACAGACACTTCCTGGCTTGCCAGCTTAACTCCACCCCTTTCCCTTTGATTCAAGGGAATATAAGCCATTACAGTAATTTTTACCAACCCAATATAAACTCATTACTCAAATTTGCATTTAATTACTTAAAATTTGAGTATCTTTTCATACTGGTCATTTGCATTTCTGTCAATTTGCCTGTTTTTTGGCCTCTGCCTGTTAGCCTATTGTTTTGTACTTGTTCTTACTGATCTGTAAGAGTGCTTTATGTAAGATAGCAGCACTGGTGCAGGAATAACCTTGAATTACTTTTCTGTAAATAAATCAGAAACATGGATACTTCAGCCCAGGAACTAATTTCTGTTAAAAAAGGTTAATACCCAAAAACAATGAGATACCACTTTTCACTTAGACCAAATAATTCTAATGCTACAAATTTGGCTGTAAGGATGTTCACAGCAACTGGAAAGAACCTAAATAATGTTCAAATTCAGAAGACTCACTGAATCAATTGTGGCATATCTTTAAGATCAAATACATTAGAAATACAAGGTGGTATTATACATAAATCTATAGTTTTTTTTCTTACAAGGAACATGAAATATACTTGGGCACCCTTAAGCCAAACAGCAGACTGCAGATCATACAACAGCTGAGTAAAGTATAGAACCCTAATATACAATTAAGAGCTATTTGCGACCAGTAAAATGAAATTATTTTAATTATCAAATCTTCAAAATTAAGAGTCGTTCCCTTCCTACTTTTTCATACTGAAGACAAAGGTAAGGTCTGATTTAACCTTAAAGATTAAATTTCATTTTAGTTCCTCTACCTCCCTAGAAAATTTTAAGTTATAATTAATGATGGTTTTTAGTCTAGCTAATAGTTACCACTATACGTAAAAATTCATCGTGAGTTTTGGCCTCATTTCTCTTCTGCACATTAAGTACAACTTTTTGAGACTTACTTTTCAAGGTAACTTTCCAGCATCCTCGTTACATATAAAAAATAAATTTGCATTGTTTCCAGTAAGACTCCAGACACTAAACTGTGGTGTCAACAAAACTTTTTATTCAACTGGTTCAAAATAATTTTAGAATGAATGCATTTAGATGACTAGATAGAATTTTAAAACAATTTTTTGCTAAAAAGTTTAAGTACTTCTAAACTTAAAAAAAAAAAAAAACAAAATTTTAAGGGCAGAATAAATACCTCTATCTATGTAGTACCATAAACATGTTAATAAAACGCAACATTGAAAGCCTTCTATGACTGGAAACTAGATTTACACAAGTGTAAATAAGGGATTAAAACCATGCCAATGATGAATTAACTTACCCCTGGGTTCCTTGAAGGCTTGTCAGTTAAGTCTTTGGAGGTCCCCGAATACCATTTTAAGTGTTACCATGTTACTGCTGCTGAGTAATAGTGCAAGTGCTAAAATGCAAAATTCAGATGGTACAGGGTTTGGAAATCATGCAGATTTAGATGCAGGGAAAAAAAAAAAAAAATTAAAACAACTCAAGCTCCTTTTATACAGGAAATTGAATAACAAAACAACGTGGCGATTACAAGTCTAAAGGACGACTTCATTTATAAACGTTTAACACGTAACTTGCCAAATGACAAACCTATTTATCATACGCTAATTAGATAAGGGTATTAGGTATACTAGCAACACAAAAATTACAACATTCTTCCAAATGAAAGAAAAAATGAGCTTCTCAACTCTCACAGAAATTAGTAGTTACATAAAAAGTACAACAGAGAATCAATATATTATTGCTTTTACATACTATACAATGCATTGTGAGAGTTTGATTTTGTAAACGATTTTATTCAACATTACTATATTCCCCCACTTTTGGAGGACAAAGCTCATTTCACTCAACACTTCTACAGACAGATAACCCACCCTACTAGTTCTTAAAGCTGTCAGGCTTCTTAATGGATTTCAGGCACAAGATAATTTGTGGTTTCTTCTACTTTATCCCTATGGCAATTAATTCCACTTTTCAAATCCCAAACCAGAAAGGTGCTGATATTCCCTTTTTTTAATTGATATGCTTTGCTACAAAGCATGTGAAAATATCAACATTGTTTTGCCCATAATATTTTTAAAAAGCATGATTTCCCAAAGTGGAGATTTATACATGCCATGTAAACAGAACATCACTCAAATGCACAGGGGCACTAAGGAAAAGCTGGAGGGTACTGCTTACCATTTTAGGTGCGGTCACCCAGACTTATTAAAAACTAGATTTAAAAAAAAAAGAAAAGAAAAAAAATAACTTTCCACTTTGGATAATGCAAGAACCAATAGCAATTAAATCTGGGTATCAGGTGTCAATGCATGACAGGTGATGAATCCATTTGACTTGAGACAACTTTTCAAATAAGTTTATTTGAAGCAAAATAAACTATTGCCAAGAAACTTTATGAAAGTTCCATCTCAAAAGGGCCAAAAAGGGGAATTAACTGCTATGAATTCTTTGCATTCAGAGCTGCAAAACAAAGACACATATTATTTAAATCAGTTTTATTTAAGAATTTCCAACATTGACAACTCTTATAAAAAGCATCCAAGCACAGGACACAGAACTGCAGCAAACAGCATTCTTATGGGGAGCTAACAGACATTAGAACTTCCACCCTTCTTTTGAGACACCCCGAGCTCACTGGTGAACTCTGCTTCCAAGTATTCCTGCAAAGCACACCACAAGCTCAGTCCATGTTCTCAACCCATCAGCTTCAGTTCACTTTATCACACTTACATATCAGTAACAGAAGAGAACACACACCATACAGCATTCACAGCAGTTGACAAAGGGGCAGGGGAAATACAAGTATCGTTTCACTTAACACATTCAACTAATATGGGTTACCTAAGAACAAAACTCACTTAAAGTCTTCCAACAGATGTGGATGTCCTTTGAATGCAAGAAACATTCGTACATTATTTGCTATCATTGCTCTCTGCACACTCTCTCACCAAAGCCACAGGATTGAGAGACACATCTCGCCAAGTTAAAAAATATCCATTATGCACCACCAAGTCTCTGCACGCGCTCTCTCCTTTTTCTCGCTCATACTAGCCTTTCATGCCTCGGCACCACCATCAATCCCACACAAGGTTTCAAAAGTTCAAACAGCCTTCTGGTTCCATATCACAGCCTTGCGTTCATAGCGTTGATACGACTCCATGAAATAAAGAGTAGCGGATAAAAATGGGACACCCACCGTCAAAGACGCAGCCTGTGCAGCGTGATGACGAATTCTTGAATGAGAAAGCATGTAGACAGAAGTATTCCTATGGCAGAATATTTACAGCACTACTTTCAATGAAGTGCTTCTTCCATAAACATTTGAAATGAGATGAACTGCAGAGATTAAATGAAGGCTTCATATTGTACTTTTGTATATGAAGGGAGACAAGTGTTAAAAAATAGAACAAAAAGAACCAAACATTGTGACACCATGATCTCCAGAAAGGAGATATTCCTAAGGAAAAATTCATATGGTGGGGTTCAAATTAAAACAATGAGAAAAGAATGTAGTTCTAACTAATGGTTTCCATTTTGAACATGCAAAGAATTCACTTGACAAGTCCAGGGATAAAATATTACAGGAGAAACCTTTTGATATCAACTGTAGTGTGTTGGTTTACCAATCAGGCAAACAGCAGTTCACGTCCAACCACTCAATATTTCAACCCTTTAAGTAACAAAACTTATAAAATTCCTTTAGCTCTTCCTCTTTTTCTAAAGAAAAATGTCAAAAATACTGCTGAATATACTCCACACTGAACAAACCAATTTTGAAAATTTTTAGTACATATATATCTTACAATATACTTACCATGAGTTTAGAAAAATCTGAATTCCCACCAGTCTATACCAACCAACCAGAACCCACTGTCTACATTCCCCAACCAGAGGATTTGGAATCCATGCTTGAGCCAAAGCCTCCATTAAAACCACTGCCTGACCCTGCATTTGATGCTGATCCCCAACCAATGGCTGCACCAGAATTGGAGCCACTGTAAGAGTTATTTCCAGAACCAAAGGCCTGATTTGGCTCCCTCTGCATGTTACCTTGGCTTTGGTTATTACCTGATGGGCCTGACTGGTTCTGCTGACTGGCTAACATGCCCATCATACCCCAGCTGCTCTGCAGCGCTGCTTGGGCTGCAGCCATCATAGCTGGGTTAATGCTGAAAGCCCCAAAGTTCATCCCTCCACCCATATTACTACCTTGATTGTTTCCCAAGCCAGCCCCACCCCCTCGGCTGTTACCAAATCCACCCTGATTCCCAAAGCCACCTGGATTACCACCAAATCTTCCACTTCTTTCTAACTGTCTATTGCTATTGTGCTTAGGTTCAGCATTGGATATATGTACGCTGATTCCTTTAATGATCAAGTCCTCTCCACAAAGAGACTGGGCAACCTATAAGAAATAAGGAATGTAAATAAAGGAGATTAAATCATTGACTCATATTTAAAATTATCAATAAAACTTAGATTTCAATCCCTTGTGTAAGCTAGAGGAAAATAAGCAAGGAATGCTCATTTCACTTAAACTCCCAAAAGAACCTTTAGCTTTAGTAATGACAGCAAGGATTTTTCAATTTATTTTCAAAAGACATACAACACTCCCAGTCAATGCCACACCCTAGAGAATATCTAAAGTTTTAACACAAATATCTAGGAGCATATATAACCCACAGCTTTACAAAGTCAGAAAACGTAGATAAAGACAGCAATTAGCTAGATGGGAAAAGTTCAACAGAAATTACCTAATTAGCTCGGACAAAATTATTAAAAGAGAAAAATACCTGATCATCTGCAAATGTAACAAAGGCAAAAGCCCTGAATGGTTTGGGAATGAAGACATCTACCACTTCTCCATACTGGCAGAAGAACTGCCGCAACTCATCAGCAGTCATGTCCTCTGTACAACGCCCAACAAACACCTTTCTACTCCTCAAAGGCTCATCTGGGCTTTGCTGGTCAAATCAAAAGGGAGCAAAAACATCAAATATCTTATAAGCAACAAAAAGAACATTATTATAAGAGATGTAACAAAACTAATCTGCCCTTAAATTAGGTAAATCATTAAAAAGCAGGCACATTCTTAATATTTTGCATCAGCAATTCTCTGCCTCATAAGACTTTAATGAAGAATAGAGTTTTAAGATATGAAAGTTATTTGGATCTAGAAAGTCAATGACTGGGAAATGTTCTGGCAAAGGTGATGATGTTCCAAATAAGCAAGCCTGATGTGAAGTTAGGTCTTTGTAACACGGTTAATGTATTCTGATTGTTTTATGTTCACTAGACAGAAATAATAATACATAAAAGAACAAAAGTGAACAAAGTTTTAGTTTGTGTTTACTTCAAATAAACACAAAATATTCAGCATACATTAAAGTCTTAAGGTTTCAACAAGGCCAATGATTAATTTCAAGAGCACACCCTGCCACTACCTTTTCCAAGGGTATTTTAAAAAAATTTTTTTTATTGTACTTTAGGTGAAGGTTTACAGAACAAATAGTTTCTCTTTAAACAGTACTACACATATTGTTTTATGGCATTGGTCAACAACCCCAAGACATGTCAACCCTCTCCCTTCTCGACCTCTTTTTTTTGGGTGAAAATATACATAGCCAAAGATACACCATTGCAAAACTTTCTACATGCACAGTTCAGTGACATCGACTACGCTCTTCCAATTGTGCTGCTATTCTCACTTTAGATGAAAGTTTACAGAACAAAATAGTTTCTCATTAAACAGTTAGTACACATGCTGCCCTATGACAATGGTTAACAACCTCACAACACATCAACACTATCCTTACTCAACCTTGGGTTCCCTATCACCAACCTTCCTGTCCCCTTCTGCCTTCCAGCCCTTGTTCCTGGACTGCTGTGCCTCATCAGTCCCATTTGGTTTTATGGGGCTATCCACTCCCCGGCTGAACCTCAGAAGTGACTTCACCACTGAGCTAAAAGGGTGTCTGGGGGCCATACTCTCGGGGCTTCTCCAGTCTCCCTCAGGCCAGTAAATCTGGTTTTTTGTGAGTTAGAATTTTGTTCTACATCCTTCTCCAGCTCTGTCCAGAACCCTCTGTTGTGATCCTGGTCAGAGCACTCAGTGGCGGTAGCCGGGCCACCATCTAGCTGTACTGGACTCAGTCTGGTGGAGGCCCGGGAATTTGTTTTGTTTTTTGTTTTTTTTTACAGTGTCTTATAAGGAAGTCTGTCAGCAAAAATTCCCAAAACATAGAGGAAGAAAGATGGAGCAAAGTACCTTAGAATTAGGAAGTTTACAGTCGCACCATCGTCCATCTATCATATGTCGCTGTGACATTACTTTCACCTGGGTTTCATATTCCGTAAAACGAACAAAGCCAAACCCTTTGGAGTGACCAGTTTTAATATCTTTCTTGACCTAGAAAAGATGATTTAAATTTACTAAAACTACACACATACACAATCATATAAGTATCCAAATCAGAGTTCCTTGACATACCATTTAAATAGCTTCAATTGTAAGCAGTGCCTTAATTAAAAATTAAACCAAGTTATTCATGAGGTATAAGCAACAGAATGGTTAACACTGAACCTAGATCATGTAAACAGAAAAGTAAAACTCATTTACATAATAGAATTTTAACAAAAACATTTTAGAATGAATGCAAAGATAAACTAGATTCAATGTTTACAAATCCTAATTATTAAATGTGGGAAAACGCAGAAAATGTTTTTTAATCTCCTATCAACAGAAAGAAAAAAAACTAATGTAACCTACTCCCCTTCAGCCTACATGCAACAGTAGAATTTTATAAATACCAAAGGCAAAAATATACAGTGCCTGCATAAAAGAAAAAAGTGCAAACCATACTTCTTTTCAGCATTCCCTATGTATACATGTAACAAATAACATTAAAAGGACCATCTGCTGAACATGAAGGACAGTGCCACTAATAGTAATGCTAGGTGCTGACTCATTGGTAAAGAAAACTGGTAAATGAAACCAAAGTTTACCTGCACCATAAGAACTTCTCCAAAAGTACTAAAATATTCTTTTAGATCCTGCTCAGTTGTCTTCCACGGGAGACCCAACACTATCAAATCAGACGTTTTCTGGACTGCTCTCTTCACTTTCACTGCTGATGAAGCATCTGTCTCATCCATTTTTCTTTTGTTATCTGAATAAAAACCAGCAGAAACCGTTCAGAAAACTTCATTTAACACTTCTTAAAATGCACTACCTCCTAATGTCTAGAAATAAAAAGCAAAAAAGAAGATTTATAAAAACAATGAAGACACTGAAAAGTCTTGGCAAGAAGTAATGTTAACTCTCAAGGCCTTGAATAAGTGGCTGAGATGTTTTCCTGCTGCAAATTCAGGAATTCTCAACTGGTTTTGTAAAATCTTAAAATTGTAACTATATGTTCTCTCACTCAAAAGGTACATCAAAACAAAAATCTACTTTGGACTTAAGAATACATTAAATCAAAATCTGTTGCCACTGAGCTGATTCCAACTCACAGCGACCCTACAGAACAGAGCAGAACTGCCCTACAGGGTTTCCAAGGAGTGGTTGCTGGATTCGAACTGCCGATCTTTTGGTCAGCAGCAGAGCTCTTAACCATTAGCCACCAGGGCACCAAAACTACATTAAGCAGGAAAAATAAAAGGTTAAAAATGCGTATACTATCCTTGTTGTCTATATATTAAACGTATCTGCTTAACTACTTGAATGCCTCTTACATAATTTAAAGGCTATGTACCAAAAAATTAGCGTGTTTTATATCCAGATGATGGAATCACTCTTGCTACGTTCATTTACTAACTAAATATTTCCTGAGTGCCTACTATAGGTCAGGTGCTACAGTTGTAACTGCGAATCAGTTTGTCTTTTGTAAGCTTTCAACAATGAACACATACCAGTTTTGTAATAAAGAAAGTCTTATTTTAAAAAGTCAGTATTTGGAAGGGGAAGGGAAAGGAAATCAATGACATTTTAAATTTGAGTGAATATTAATCTACAGACAATGAGAAACAGCATACAAAAAAAACCCAGAATTTATGCAATTAAAAATCTTCTAGGTATGTTAAGTCAATGTCCTATATCTTGACCAACTTTGATAGTTTGACTTTGTTGCAATATCATGTTTAAGTATCAAGCAGATACATCAACTAGCACACATTCCTACTACTAAAATGCACCTACATCCTTGGCACTCTTAATTTTCATGCTGTTCTTAGATTTAGAACATCAGTGACAAGCAGCAGCAAGAATAAGACTTATTTATCATTAGGATCACACTAATCAAAATCTGAGTCACTGCAACTGATGTTCACTTCAGGGGAAAAAGTCAGATTAGTTGAATGATGTAAGACCACCAAGGGCAATGACAACCCAAAGTTTAGGGGCGCTTTACAAGAATCTATCTACAACACAGATATAACTGCAAAGCATTCTTAAGAATCCCGGAAATCCATCATCAACTTGGCAACGTTTGTTGAGATAATTTGTTATTTAAATAGTTGCCTCTTAAAAAATGTTCTGTAATTTCCAAGTTTTAGACTAGTGGTCTTCCAAACTAGTCCAACAGTAAAGTTTAAGGAAAAGCTTGCATTATAGTAGATGTTTCACCACGAAGAGGTCATGATCAGTGACTCAGGATGAGGCACAAGTCCCACCATACTTTAACATTACTGCGAAGCCAAATGGCAACAAACCTTTGGGATAGTTGACAACGTAGACCAGATTTCCCCAGCCAGCATCAGGGGCGTGCAGAATTCCTTCTACTAGGCGGACACCTCTCATACACTGAGATACTGGATTCCTGTAGCGCAGGCCACATGCCCCTGGAAACTGGGCTGTAACCGTGGACAGCAGCACTGTTCCATCATCTTCTGATGGTATTTCAATAGGTTCGTCATTCTCATCTTCGGTTACCCGAATATATTCAGACATCTTTAATTTTTCTTAAAAGGAAAAAGAGGTATGACTAACCAACACTCATGCCAGGGTAACTGTTTCCTTACAATTTGTTGTTAACTAATACCCCCCCACATCGTCACTCCATGACTTCCAGAAAAATCCCTGTCTGGACTCTTACACATATGAATTTTTCTTGAGAAATGAGACAAGAATAAGGGTAGTGATTTTCTATTAAAATGCGACGCCCTGCTAGGTTCATTCATTCACTAAATACTTCCTGAGTGCCTACTATGGCCAGATGCTGCAGCTACAACTGTGAAATCAGTCCCAAATGGCATGCTGGTTACAAGGGGGGCGGGGGTAAACAAGAGAAAGTAAACAAATAACTATTTTGATACAATCGTGATATATGCTACCAAAATGAAGTAAATAACCTTAAGAGGGCCGGGGAAGACTTAAAACTGGGTCAGACCAAGTCAGGGTAGGTGATGGCTAACCTGACACTTGAGGACTAAATAAGACGAGTGAGCCAGGTGAAGACAAGAGGAAAAAGTTGCTGTTTGTCACTTTGGGGCTTCCGCGAGCTCTCCAAACTTGTGTCACAAGGATAGCGGCGACAGGTCCTTTGAGATTCGGACCGCCACCTCCCAGAAAGCAATGCGTGACAGCCGAGGGAGGAGTTTTTAAGCGCGGCCCGGGCGGGGCCGCAAGGGGCACAAGGCCCAAACTGGCAGTGTCCAGCAGACTGCAAGGTACCGAAGGCACAAAGCACTGCCCGGGCCTGGTAGCCACGCCTAACCTCCGTCTCAGACTGCACGGCACCGCGGGACCAGCGTCCCTGCTTCGGCGCCGGGTGCCACCCCACGCTAAGCCCTAACGACGCTCCCGCGCGAAGCCGCTCGGACCGGACGAGGCAGGCACGGCCCCATGGCTCCCTCCCCTGCGGGGGCCGAAGCTGCTGCGTCCGCCTCAACTGTCCCAATGGGGAGCCCATCTAGCCAAGGTGTCCTCAGTGAAGAGCGTCCGCTACTCACCTGCTAGGCCGCTGCTATTAAGCCCAACAAGGAAACAAGCAGCAATGAATCAAACGCCAGCCCAGCTACCGCTTCGCGCTCACAAAATGGCGCTAGGGCCGCCTCCTCCCCACGCCGGCCGTCGTCCTCTCCCATCGAATCTCCGTTAAGAGGGGGAGGCCGCCTCACAGACACACAACAACTCTCTCCTTAGCGAGTTAGGGTCTTTATTGGGAGTCTGGTAATATAAATACGGTGTGAAGCTAAAATAAGACCACTATCAATGACTGAAAAGTTAAAAATGAAAAAATGTGAATGAGTAGGCTTTTGATGTCCCCCATGTAGCGTAACAATGGTTTTGCCCGACCAACCGCCAGCCCCAGGTCTCGGCTTAGCTCGCGCAGTTTCAAAGTGCGCGAGACTAGCATAGGGGCAGGGCCAGGAAGGGCAGGGCGGGGCCGGACCAAACGGGGCGGACAGGGGCGGGCCCGGGCCGGGGCGGGGCGAGAGGTCAGGGGCTCTCCGGGCTTGGGAGGGCAGGAGGGTCCCGGGCGGTTTGTCTAGAACGCCGGTTAGTGCGTCCTGTCTTCCCTTCCTTACGCAACCTGCAAACCTGGAAAGAAGAAATTTGTTTCTAAAATAACTGTTAATCAATAATAGCGCCTACTATGTGCCCTGTACTTTCAAAGTACTTACATATTTAATTCACCCAATGTTTTTGCGTGGTAGTTGCTATTGATGGAGCCCTGGTGGCGCAGTGGTTAAGAGCTCGGCTGCTAACCAAAAGCTGGGCAATTGGAATCCACCCGCAGCTCCTTGGAAACCCTATGGGGCAGTTCTACTCTGTCCTATAGGGTCGGTATCAGTCAGAATTAACTTGTCGGCAACGTGTTTGGGTTTTTTCTTTGTTTAGTTGCTATTGAAACTATCCTCATTTTACAGATGAGGTAACTGAGCCATAGAGAGGTTAAGTATCTTGCATAACGTCACCCAGGCAGTATATGGTGGCCCTGGGATTTGAACCTGAAGGCATCTAATATTAACACCAGCTCCAGCTCTCTAAGATAACAATACTGTATTTCATCTGTTTTAAGACACATATTTTGTTTCACATTTCTGAAATGAGAAATTCAGATATCAGTTACAAATACAGTTGAAGATGTGTCATACCAAATAAAAAGCCCCCAGAAACCCAAACTCATCGCAGTCTAGTAGATTCTGACTCATAGCGACCCCCTACAGTACAGAGTAGAACTGCCCCATAGGGTTTCCAAGACTGTCATCTTTATGGAAGCCAACTGCCACATCTTCCCACAGAGCAGCTGGTGGGTTTGAACCGCTCACCTTTTGGTTAGCAGCTGAGTGCTTAACCTGCTATTAATACTGCTGTTATTGCTATTAGTTATAAACAAAGTTTTTTCAGGTTTGGAGGTTGGCTAGAGGAAGGAAAGAAGGTGCCCTGGTGCCACAGTGGTTAAGTGCTTGGCTGCTAACCTAAAGGTCAGCAGTTCAAACCCACAAGCTGCTCTGTGGGAGAAAGATGTGGCAGTCGGCTTCCATAAAGATTGTTGTTGTTTGTTGTTGCACAGCTTTCAGCGTCGCAGCAACACGCAAGCCCCCACAGTGCGACAAACTGACAGATGAGAGGTGGGGGGTGGGGGGGATTTAGGGGAAGAAAAAGAGGACACGTTGGGCTGGAAACACTTTAATTTCTTAAAACCATTTAAACAAAAAAACTGTTGAGGTAGAGTTGATTTAGATTCATGGCAACCCCACATGTGTTAGGGTTTTCATTGGCTGATTTTTTGGAAGTAGATTGCCAGGGCTTTCTTCCAAGGTGCCTCAGGGTGAACTCAAATCTTGAACTTTTGGGTTAGCAGCTGAATGTGTTAACTGTTTGCAGCACCAGGGCCTTTAGTTTCTTAGTGGTGCATGAAATAATACAGTGTATCAGGTTCAAAGACATGCAGTAATAGCAAAGTTTTACACAGACTCTGGTCTAAGTGCCGTATATTTATGTATTAACTGTATAAGCCTGACAACAACTCTATAAGGTAGGTGTTAGTGTTATCATGGTTGCTTAACTGAAAGATTGGAGGTTCGAGTTTACCCAGAGGCACCTTGGAAGAAAGGCCTGGGATCTACTTCCAAAAAATCAGCCACTGAAAGCCTTATGGAGCACAGTTCTACTCTGACACGCTCATAGGGTCATCATGAGTTGGAATGGACTCAATGGCATCTGATTTTATTGTTGTTTCATTTTACAGGTGAGAAAACAGGCACAGAGATTAAGTAACGCTACCCAAATTCATGTGGCTGGTAAATATTGAAGCTAGGATTTGAATTCAGGCAGTCTGGCTCTGGAGCAAGTGAGTTCTACTGCCTCTTGCTTCTTACAGCCTCCTAGGGAATAAATAGTAAGTCCTGCAAGTCGATCTCTGATGCCTGCTGTTTGTGTTAACCAGATTATTCCTGAACCAATTTGGAAGCGTGAAGGAGGAGGGACTGGGGGTGGCATGTAATAAGTGACCTTTACTGGCCCCCAGGGACATCCCTCCATACAAGGGACAAGGCTGTACAGACAGCCCTGATGGTAACTGAGGCTTCAAAGCACTGGATGAAACAGTGGCCTGCATCATTTCACTTAATTCACCCAGCCATTTTGGGGGAGAAGTCAATTTATTATGCCCATTTTGCAGAAGAAGAAATTGAGGCTCAGGGACGGTGTAACTTGCCTGAGATCACACACCTACCTAAGGAAGTCACCCAGCCCAAACATTGTTGCCCCAGGTCTTTCAGACCCTGGAGCCATGCTCCATCCACCTCCCTGGGCTGCTTTCTGTGACAAGGTTGAGACTGAAGCATTTCGTGTGGACATCTCCCTGCAGCCTTGGGTGTTTGCAGAAGTTCTCAGTTGAGTTGGGAAGACCAGCAAACACCATCTTAAAGGAGTGAAATAACTCCTCCAGGAAGAGAATCAGTAAGGCTGGAGGGAGGCTGGCCCTAGAGTCTGAGTTCATCCCTTAGCCTCAGCTTTACAGTGCTGATTGTCAGAAGTTCTACCTGTTTGAAATGTAGAGTTTTGCAAGTTCTACTAGCTTGCTTGCTTGCTCATTTATAGCCCTTATAGACTTGATGTTGTTGTTACTGGGTGCCCCTGACTTCATTCCAACTCAGAGCTACCCCACGTGACAGAGTACAACTGCCCCATAGGGGTTTTTGGGCTGTAATCTTTTCTTTTTTTAATTTATTTTTTTAATTGTGTTTTAAGTGAAAGTTTACAGCTCAAGCTAGTTTCTCATATAAAAATTTATACATGCACTGTTATATGACCCTAGCTGCTCTCTATAATGTGACAGCACACTCCTCCTTTCCACCCCAGGTTTCCCGTGTCCATTCAACCAGCTCCCGTCCCTTTCTTTAGCTATAATCTTTGCAGGAGCAGATCACCAGATCTTTCTCCCTGGAGCCGCTAGGTGGGTACAAACTGCCAACCTTTTGGTTAGCAGCCAAGTGCTTAACCGTTGCATTACCAGGGCTCCTTAGCCCTTATAAGCTTGAATACACATTAAGCCTGTAGATTGTTGGAGGGCCAAAAAGTATCTGTTCACATCCATCTCCTATCTTTAGAGCATTTAGTAAATATTTCTGAAGATAAGGAATCAGAAAGGATTTACTGAGCACTTACTCTGTACTGAGCATTGTGGTAAACTAGCAGTGTAAAGATACACAAGAGTAGTAGGGGTAGGGACAGGTTGGGAGCCCAAGAGAGACGATAATTGGACTATAGTCCAGAAGGCATAAAATGAGGGGGACTAGAGCTGATCAGATGCTGAGAGTCTGAGGACTTCCCACTGGCTTCTGGAGAACTGGTTTCCAGCACCAGGACAAGGATTCTTAGTTGGAAGGAAAGGGCACTGGCGAACCAGAGTGATGGGAATGGGCCCCAGTTAGTAACTGAGTCTCTTGGACATGCCCTCTCATCTTCTGTGCCTCGCTCCATTTCCAGCTCTTCCAGCTCCATAAGGTGAACAGGAGAGGAGCTGCATTAGCATTTCTGAAAACTAAGAGAAATACCAAGGCAAGTAACTTCATTTCATCAAGATTTAATTTCCCCTTAATCCCTATGTTTTTAGATCCTGCCAGAATTAGGAGCTGCCTCCCTGACCGGTCTAGGTCTAACTTAGATTTTTCTAAAAAATTTTTTACTCCAAAATAGTTTGAAATGTAGAATAGAGTTGCAGGAATAGAACTACTGTGTATCTTTCATCCAGATTCACAACTGATAATATTTTGTCACGTTTGCTTTATCACTCCCTTTCTCTATATGCTGTTAGTTGCCATTGAGTTGGCTCTGACTCATGGAGATCACATGTACAACAGAATGAAACATTGCCCAGTCCTGCAACATCTTCACAATCTCTGGTATGCTCAAATCCGTTGCTGTGGACACTGTGTATTTTGAGTGACTTCCAACATAGGGAACTCGTCTTCTAGCACTATATCAGACAATACTTTGTTGTGATCCGTAGGGTTTTCATTGGCTAATTTTCTGAAGTAGATCTCTAGGCCTTTCTTCTTAGTTTGTCTTAGTCTGAAAACTCTGCTAAAACCTGTCCACCATGGGTGACCCTGCTGGTATTTGAAATACCAGTGGCATAGCTTCCAGCATCATAGCAACATGCAAGCCACCACAGTATGACAAACTGAAAGGCGGGTAGTGGTCTGTCTATATAGACATATATTTTATGTGTCTGTCACTTTGTCAGTTTAGGTGCCATAGAGTCAATTCCAACTCACAGCGACCCCATGAACAGAATGAAACACTGCCCAGTCCTGTGCCATCCTCACAATTTTTGCTATGTTTGAGTCCATTGTTGCAGCCACTGTGTCAATCTATCTTGTTGAGTGCCTTCCTCTTTCTCGCTGACCCTCTACCAAGCATGATGTCTTTCTCCAGGGACTGATCCCTCCTGATAACATGTCCAAAGTACGTGAGATGAAGTCTCGCCATCCTCGCTTCCAAGGAGCACTCTGGCTGTACTTATTCCAAGACAGATTTGTTCCTTCTTCTGGCAGTCTGTGGTATGTTCAGTATTTCTTTGCC